GTTTTTGTTTACCATACAGATAGATATTTTTTAAATGGTCATGTCAGAGCCGAACTCTGTCCTGCCAACCTGCAGTTTGGGTGAATATTCCTCTGTATAACTGACTCTTCCATTACTTAGTCAGTGTCACACCTGCTGGCCCCTTCTGTGTGACAGCCCTTCAGATATATCCAGATAGTGTCCTGTTCCTCATGTATTATTTTGCATAGAGTTGAAGACATCTGGCAGGATTTCCAGACCCCTCAGTATCCTGAGCACTTTCTTTTGAATGGACTCCAGTTTGTTATTGTCTGTCTCTAATTTGGCCACTAAATTGAGCACAATTCACTTACTCATTCAACAGATAGCAATTGAACATCTATGTGCTAGGCAATATTCTAAGGTATAGAGATATGGCAGTGAGTATCCCCCTTCCTTCATAGAGCTTTCATTCTGGTGGGGGAGGCATATATTAAGCAAGATAATTAGATGAATGTACTAGTATATTCTAATTATTATTATTTATCTAGTGATGGATACTAAAGCAAGGAATACACCAATGATGGTCTGCTCAGCACAGAATTCAGTGAGCCTCCTACCTATGGAGGCAGTTTTCTTTCAGATGGCCAGTGATTACATTAGATTAACTGTTAGCTTATGTTAGTTTGTGGTCAGCTAAAGTCCCCCGGGTTTCCCTCTCCTCCATAAATGAACATATATTAAATCATATTTCTCTCACGCTTTGTGTTTTTGGATTTCGTTGTTGTTGTTGTCTTTTGTTTTTTGAGACAGGGTCTCAAAAACCTGTTGTTGCCCAGACTAGAGAGCAGGGGTGTCACCATGACTCCAATGTAAGACTTAAGACATAAGGAACATAAGGTGGAGCCTTATGGTAGAAGCTTCTGAAGTGAACATGACCTTTAACTCTATTTGTTTAGATTGTCACTATGTTCTTGACCACCCTCACTGTTATGATCAAAAGAATTAAAAAACGGTTCCACATCACTGCCTGTGTTTTTTCCTTATTTCGTCTCTCTTGTACAAGGCCTGGATAACCTGCACAGTTGTTCCTGAACTTACTAACTTAACTTTGTTTTATTTCTACTAGCTAACCTTGATTGCTTTCCCTCTTTTATGCAATAATTTCACCCCTTAATTCCCTAATGAGCAGTATTTCCAATTTAACATAAGTGACCCAAGGAACATGCTAGGCATAGACATGAATAAGGGAGGTTCCTTGCCCTTAGGGAATTCTCAGTCTAACAGCCAAGACAGACATATAAACAGATAACTATAATATCTGATAAGGGCACTAGTAGAAGTATGTGCAGCACAAGGGAAGGAATGATTAACTCAGTCTGGGGGAACAGAGAAGGAAATAATAGCCTGGTGACATGAAACAGAGTGGCAGGTTCAGAAACCCCAAGTTTGCTAAAGTGTGACATACAAGTTAAAAGCTGACAAGACTGAAGACTGAATCAACAGGCAGGGCCCAAACTATGAAGATTCTTTTGTATCATGCTAATAAGCATTTCCACTTTCTGCGGTAAGCAATGTGAGATCCATTAAAAGACTACAATTTTCTTTAAAATTTTGTAAGATTACATTATAGTTCTAACAATAAGTTTAGGTTATGTTTAATTACTTAGTCTTAAGAGTTTGTTCCATTTTATTTTGTAGCTTTTCAGTTTGTTTGCTTAGAAATCAGAGTTGGTAGTCAAAATACTAAAGAATAAAAGCAAACGAATCACAGAATTGCCACACAACCAAGCAGGGCTGTTTACAAGGAAGCCCAGCTGTTTCTTCAAAGTCCAGGATCATTCTCTTTGTTTTCATTCCTATTCATAATGATGAAGAACATATATTGTAAGTAAAATATAAGTTTAAATCCAAAAGAGGATGAAAATTGGAGGAAGTGGATTCATCCTGGCTTATATAGCTTTTCTGTTGAGTGCTTTATTTTAGTTTGAGAAGTTGGCATGAATAGCCGCTGTTGGTGGATTTCTGTTCCATCACGTGGATGTCAATGTAAGGGGAGGAGGGGATTTCCTCTGACCCTTCTTCCTCGTCTGCTTCTTAACCTCCTTCCTGTTCAGACAATCAGCAGCAGTCCTTTGCTGGACACCACTCACCACACTCATAAAAGGCCAACAGTCACCTATGCCCCTACCTGGAATTAATTTCCTATGTTTTGTTACTTAAGAGGTAATCAAATTGCAGGTCAATTCTTGATTGTTTTCCATAAAATGAGAATATTGTTGCATAAAACAAAGTTGATATTTAAATTAATACCCCTGAAACGTTAAGAATATTTTCCCAAATAACATACTCTTTTACTATTTTAAGTCTGTACAAGTCGTGCTATCCTATAGTTTCTCCAGGTTTGTCCTCCTTCAAGGGATGGTTCAGTTGAATGTCAATTTTGGATTTAAAATTCCTCTACATTTAGAATTTTTACTTATTAAGAAGAACTTCTGTATACTTTTACTTTTTCAATTACCTTACTCAAGTGTTTATGTCAGTGCC